TGTTGAGATAATATAATCAAACATAATTTTGCCTTTATATTTAGCAAGTATTACTAAAGAGTATTATCGACAATTACTAAATATTTGTAAAGACGAAATTATATTTAGTTATATTAACAACTCAACATACTCAACATTTAATTGAAACTATTTCACTTAATATTTGATAGCTATAATTTAACTTTTTTTCAGTGCATGTTTACTCTTGAACTTTTTAAACTGCTGAGAGATAAATATTATGATGTAGAAGTAAATATTATGATGTAGAAGTAAATGATTAAGTATTAAAAAAGGCTAAAGTTAAAAAAGGAGCACACAATATTATTTTTTGCGATGTCATATATTTAAAATAATCATTATAAATTCAAATTTATAGACGTTTTTCGACCGATATAGTCTTCTTTAGTATACAATTTTAAGTCGAAAATTGAATAAATTAAAAATTATAATTTAAAAATTATAAGAAATTAAATGTCAGTCCAATAAAAAAATAATAAATAATATGCGATGGTCAGTTAATATAAGAACTTGAGTATATGAAACCGTATAAAGTGAAATGGTTGATTTTTGTGTAACTATTACAATATTGGTTCACTTATTAATGACAAATTCTGTTAAACGAATAATCTCTTACTTTCATAACTTTCATCCCACTCCTCTAATTTTCCCCTTCTTAATTTCTCTAGCTAATATAAATACAGAGAAGGAAGAGACAGAATACAGAAAGAGGAACACAAAAATTCTGTTAACAAGAAAGAAAAAAAAACTGGTTTCTTCCATCCTTAAAAATTATAAAGAATGGAAAATTGTTAGTGAATAATTATAACTGCTGTTACATATGAGTAAAGGTATGTTAAGTAATCATTTGTACTGTCTTTATAATCATTAAAAAAAATCTTTATAATTTTGTAATTATGTAAGTTCAAATTAGAACTTGGAAATTCTTTACGGCATGAGGATTTGCAATTAATAGCAGACCAATATTGTAATCATCACATAAGAATCATTTTACAAGAACTTTATACGGTTTCATACACTCAACTTTTTATATTAACTGACCATCGCACATAATTGGACTGAGATTTAATCTTTTATAATTTTTAAATTGTAATTTTTAACTTATTTAACTTTCGACTTAAAATTGTATAGTAGAACATACTGAAGAAGGCCGAATATCGGCCGAAACGTCTATAAATTTCAATTTGTAATGATTATTTTAAATATAACATCGCTACAAATAAACCGCAATAAATAACCGGCATATGGCTGTATGCTCGTTTTTTAACTTTTGTTTATAAATATTATGAATATGTATTTCATCTTCTTATTTAATATATGTTTTAATTAATTTATTTAAAACTGCATAACTTGAAAAAATTACATAAAATGTAATTCAATGCAAAAAATATAAAAATCATTGAAGTATTCTATATAGTGCTATTATAGATTCATAATACTCATACTACACTTTGAAGAAATATATGCAGCTCGAAATTCTTTCAAACGAAATAAGTCAAGTAGCCGATCCTATACAGAAGTTACATAATAAAAGAATTGACAGATGACGTTGCTTGGTTCCAAGAGGAAAAAATTAATCAGCATGTTAATGAATTGTGTTAAGACCAGATAAGGCAAAGACAACTAATTTATTTGGAATTAAAGGAAGTTTTAAGAAGCTAGAAATTGATTAATCAAATAATGTTTCGCAGCATCAATAGTATTTTATTTTTAGAATACAATGACAACACAAAAAATAAAAATTAATTAATTATTTCATTAATTTATCTAAAGATTATTGAACACTATTATAGACCATCAATATAGACAATAAATTATATTTAGACAATTAATAGTATCAAATATATTATAGTAGCAATAACTATATTAATTGTTATTTAGATTAGATTAAGCGTATAATAGATAGACGATAGATATACAATATTATTAATTGTATGTACAAATCACAAAATTATTTACGTCTTATTACTTTACGTTTACTTAATAATCAAATTATTTTTTATTTATGTTCATATAGGCTATGAAGCGTTTGTAGCCTATATAAACATAAATAATCTATATTTTTGATTAATAAAATGTTTTCTTCCAATTGATCTTAGATCCTGGTCCACTTAACACTACAAATGCTTTGAAACATTTGGAAATTTAGCGTTATGTCCGTATCACACTACGCATTGGAGATTGAGGATTATGAATTGAGGATTAGAATTCAATTAATTAGAAACGGATTAAAATTAAAATTACTTGATTGGTCGAATTCTAATCTTTAATTCGCAATCTCCAATGTGTAGTGTGACACGGGCATAACGCTAAATGAATCTAAGATTTTGCAATACTCTGCATGTTAGATACATACATCTAACATACATTACATCTAATTTTGATGAGCGAGCGAGCAAAAAATAAAAGATGAATAAAAAAGAACACGAGCAATTCCTTAGGTCTGTTTTCTGTGGCTGAACTAATGTGCACTTTTGGAACTTGAAATGAGGTATATGTTTGATATTTGTTGAAAGTGAGAAAGAGTACTAGTACAGGAACAGAAAACAAATCACTTATTCATTTAACTAGAAACTCTTACTAGATGTAGTAACAAAGATCCATAAATAAGTTTTTCATATGTTATACAAATAATAAACTATCTAAATGTACAAAATCCAAATAACTATATCGTTATTTTTTAATTGAATTATAATGAATGGTATTTCGTATATAAAAGCGTGATATTTATTATATTAAATGAAATAGCTTTTTTCGTAATGATCGTAATGTGAATATACAAGAAATAGGAAATAATGATCAAGCTAGACTTTAGTGCTTATAATTCGATGTAAATTTGTATATTATATACGTATCCAATTTTGCAAACTGTGGCCTGAATTTACTTTCTAATCTTTAATAATATTAGGATTGTTTCGTAACTGAAAATTAAATTTGACATACAGTTTGCAGGATTAGATACACATATAATATATAAATTTACACCAAAGTATTAAAGGTCTAGCTTGACTTTATTTTCTATTTCTTATGTATTCACATTACGATCTTAAAAGATATTTTGTTTAAAGCTGCTGAGTAGAAGTACTACAGCCATATTAAATCTTGACGTCATAAGCGAGAAATGTATCATAAGCGACACGTTGATTTTTCTTGTATGCCATTTGTAAATAAAGAAAATGTGAATGAAATGAAATAATGAGATCGTTTTAAAACACTTGCAAAAATGGACGAAAACTATCCTTATCTCCCTTGACAGTCAGTAAATAATCGTAAAAGGCACGTAAAGTGCATTTATTAGTTTTTAAATCAATGCGCATTAAATCAATGTAGCTTATTTTCACTATTTTCATTTCATGAACTTTTTTCGATTCTTTACTGACTATCAGGAGAGATAAGAAAAGTTTTCGCTTATTTTTACAAGTGTTTTAAAGCAATCTTATCATTTCATTTTATCCAAATTCTCTTTATTTACGAATGGTATATAAGAAAAATCAACATGTCATTTCTCACTTATGATATCACGATTCGAACTTATTTATAACTGAAGGATACTATTCAGGAGCTTTAATATGACTATATAATGTATAAATTTCACATCAAATTATTTAAGCATTTAAAATAGCTTGACATTCTTTATTTCTCGTATCCCGGTAAAAAATTTTTCATGTGTAAATATGTATAAATATGTATAAACATATATAAATATTCATGTGTAAATATGTGTAATCATATATGAAATATGCCCATACCTGTTCCCTCTTTCTTTTGTAAAAAAAGGTCTTTTGTAAAAGTCTCTGACTGTCGACACTACAAGACCTTTATGTCACTTACATCAAATCTGACAATCTGATAAACGATATAATTTTACTTAGTGACGCAATGTGATTTCGGTTTTTTTTTTATCTGACATTTTAATTTGGCATTTGGATAAAGAAGGACGAATTAAATTGTCGGTAATCATCAACATGGAATTTGCATTACTTATGTAATTTCAATATTTAGTAATTTTTATATTGATAAGGACCCAAATTGAAAGGTCGAAACGTTTATTTTATTCGTTTTGTTACATTCACACGAAAATAAAGAATTTTCTGTGCATCCGAACAAAACTGATGGACTTTTTTACGTTTTTCACTGATAGATTCTTTCATATTATGTTTTAGAAAAAAAATCAAGTTTGAAAAAATGTAAAAAAATTATTTATATATAAAATTATATATAAAATTATGTATAATTGTATGAGCAATTTTTTTTTACATTTTTCCAAATTTGCTTTTTTATGAAACGAACAATGCGAAAATTATCCCTTCAATTATTTTTAATGTTTTCACATTAAAAAAATTATTTAATACACATTAAATTACTATTATTATTTTTATTACACTAAAAAGTAATTTTACAAAAGAAAAAGAGATGTATGAACATGTATAGATGTATTTCGTATATGATTATACATGATTATGAATATTTATGTTTATACATATTTATACAAATTCATAAAAAAATTTTATGTTACATAATATTAAATTAATATTTAATATATTTAGATTGAAGGCCGCAAAAGATTGAATTGGAAGTTCTTTTTAACAAAACCAATTTGAGATCTGAAAATCCTAGTTGACTAGTTAGACTAATTATGGATATTTGCATCTATTTGATTAAATTCTATTCATTGATTTCTATTTTGCCGAGAAATCTGTGCTTACAAAATAAAATAAAATTTCAGCGTATATATTCCATATACACAAAAGTGTATGATTCATATTACGAGAGAAAACCTGTTTTCTAAACTATTATATAATATATATTCCATTTTGTTTTGCCCCCACTTCTTCATCAGTGTAAAACAAGTTCGGTCCCATCGATGTACGATTATGTCTATATTTCTCGATTTATTGTTTTTTTCTCTCTAATTTTTAGAATTAGAAGAAGATAAAGAATAAATTAAATCAACATTAAATCTTACATTGTCTAACCGAGTCTTAAAAATTATTATATGTGAATCCAGATCTCAATTAATATTTTCCAAGACATCGGACTAAGTTACTACGTAACATCTTATTACATAAGTAGGATATATACAAGGTAAACGAAATGAAATGTATTTCATCCACTATCATTAGTAAACTAGAAAATCAATAATAATGCATTTTAGTCTAAGTTTATATAATGTGACGACACACATTTATAATATACAATTAATATAATTTATTAGGAATTATTGCTTCTATCTGTATTTCATATAAAACAAGTTATTTAGCATGCATATACTACGATAATATAATTATACATTGCTGAGAATTTATTAAAGTTATTAATTTTATTTCCATAGGAGTTTAAATTCATAGTAAAAGATGGCTTCAATAAAATTAGTATCGTTCGAGGAAGAATTAAAGAAGAATCCGGAATTGAAAGAGTCAGATATACAAATATTGAGAGAATGGTGCAAAAAGCAGACTCATCTACCTAAAATTTCAGACAGCGAATTAACATTGTTCTTGCATAGTAATTATTATCAATTCGAGCCAACAAAAACTACTATCGATGTTTTTTTCACAGTCAGGACTCGCATACCTGAGTTCTTCTGCAATCGAGATCTTAACGTCAAAGCAGTAAAAAAAGTAACCGAGACGGCGTAAGTATATTATTAGGTGTTGGAATTAATTCGTAGCGTTTTTTAATGAAAGAATGTTATTTATTTCACATGAGCATTAAAAAATACATTAATGAAAGTACTTCCCATCACTTGTAAAACGCTACGAATTAATTCCAACACCTAATAATATTTTCTTTTTTTAATTATTCATGGTATCTCTTATGGTGTAACAAAAAAATGTAACATTTCTCACAAAGAAATTTCGTGCAAAAAGTACAAATGATCTTGTTATCGATAGAACGGTTCAAATTTTGGAAGGAACTACTAAAGAAGGGTACAGAATCATTTATGGAAGTCTCATAGATGGCGAGCCATCGAATTTTGTTTACTCTGATATAATTAAATTGTTTTTTATGGTAATCGATTTATGGCTTTATACGGAGGGCACTTGCAATGGCCATATATTAATACTCGACATGAAAAACATGTGTTTGGGACACGTCGCTCGTATGAATCCTATAACTCTAAAGAAATTCTTTTACTATCTACAAGATGGATTACCTGTTAGATTGAAAGCATTCCATGTGATGAATGTTTCTCCAGCAGTAGACATCATTTTCAATACGTCGAAACCTTTCATGAAAAAACAACTGCTGGATATGGTAAGATAATTTACCTAAATCATAAATTTATTATCATTAATTATTTAAATCATTACATACAAGTCAATTTCAGATCAATTGTTCAACATTACGTCTATTAATAAGAAAGAAATTAATGAGAAAAAGAAAAGATCAAATTCTTATTTCTTTTGATTTCTTTTTTATTGACTGTATATCGTGTGCGTATTTTATCTTTTTATATAATATATTTTAATTACTTTTTAGTTATATATGCATACCACAAACGACACTCTGGAGAATTTCGTGTCATTAGAAATTCTTCCAAACGAAGCAGGTGGTCAAGCTGGTCCTATGATGGAATTACATAATAAAGAATTGAAAAAACTGGCAGATCACGTTGCTTGGTTCCAAGATGACGAAGCTAATCATCGGGTTAATGAATCGCTACGACCGGACAAGACAAAGATAGCAACAGATTTATTTGGCATTGAAGGAAGTTTTAAGAAGCTCGAGATTGATTGAAATAATGTTTTACAACATTAATTAACTTTATTTTTAGTGCGATAGCAATAGTTTTCGAAAACAAAAATTAATTAATCATTTCAATAATCTAGCTTAAATTTAGATATTAAAATTAGTCTTATTACTCCACGTTTACTTCGTAATAAAATTTCTTTATTTTTTTTGTATTGTTCATAATATTTTTTACGGTATTGAAAATAAAAAACTTTGTAAACATCGACTAATAATAATATTGTATCAATTATTTCTTATTTAACAATGTAATTGTTACATACAATATGTATTGTATTATATTTATATTGTTGAATGAAAAATTATAATATTGATATAGTGTTGGGTAGTATCTAGATACATGTATAGATATATTTTGCGTAGCTAATCTATATCTGAGGTACATTCAAATTCGAATATTAGTATCTATTTGGATAAAAAAAACGTAGCATCTGAACTGATTTTCAGATGCATTTTTCAGATACATTTCCTCAGCATAGTCATAATTCCACTTTATGTGTGATTGTCAGTGTTGGAACGTATCTAGGTAAAAGTATCTAGATACAGTATTTACATACTTTAGCTGTATCTAAGGGCATTACCTAGATCCTTATAGACGGAGATATCCGTATCTAGTTATTTTTGGATACGGTAGCTTTTAAGTTTTAGATACATAGGTACAAGATACTTATACATTTTATTTTATGTTATATTAGAAATTTAATTTTTGATTACTATATCTATTATAAATCATCTTTACTATACTATATTATAAATCATTAAAAAAAATGGTATTGTCCTTTCAAGGCGAAAATATGTCGTCGGAAGTATAAAAGATGGAAAAAAATTTTTTAAACAAAGGTTGTACGGTTTCAGGAGTACTTTAATGTGAAGAAAAAAATTTTTTAAATTAATTTTGTTTAACAATTGTTAACAAAAAAATTTTTTTTTAATTTTTTTCTTCACAACATTTTTATTTGCTAGCGATATTATTGATTATTTGTTACATTGACAAATGAGAAATAATTAATTTGCAATAGTAACTAATTTGCAATAGTAACTAATCGATCATTTTCTTAACAAATATCACATTTGTTTTCCCTTGATTTGTTCTTATAACAAAATCATTTCTCTCAGTGTACTTGTTCATGAGAAGTGATCTCATAGGTCAGGAAATCCTATATATGAACGTAGCTTGTTTTCGATTTAAATTTTCATTATCGAGACATTCTTTTATGTTATTAAAATAAACAAATAAAATGTAGCATTTTACGCTGCTTATATCTTTTCCTTTTCTTGTTTTCTCTATTTTTTCTTACTTTCCCATTTTTCTTTTTTTCCTTTTTTTTAAGTACCTAAAAAGTACCTAAATTTTTCGGATTTTTTCTTATATCTGTATCTATACTTAGGTAATTAAAAAAAATGTATCTGTATCTATACCTATATCTTTCAAACGGTATCTGTTCCAACACTAGTGATTGTCGATTGATTCCATTCCGCAGAAAAAAAGCAGCTTTGCTATTTGCAAAATTCTATGACATGATTGGTCTTTCCCTTAGTTTCTCACAGGATCTAAATGCAAATCAGTCATATTAAAAAATTTTACAGTTACACAGCTGTTTTTTCTGCTGAACGCAGCCAGTGATCTTAGATTGTGGAATTTCTAATGCATGTATAATTAAGCTGGAAACACAATGTTCGAAACATTTTTAATATGTAAAATTATGATGAATAATATCGTCTTATTATCATAGCTTAAATCGTTTTATGATAATAAGTTTTTTCATTTATCTATATAAATATAACAAAAATGAATAGATGAATAATTCATATATATAACTAATAGATTGTTGTACACATTACCATTATTACAATAAAATGAATTTAAGAGTATCTTAAATGTGTCTGAAGATACTTTCGAAGTATCTGATACGAAATATCTGTACTTATATACATTTTAATATGTGCATATATACATATTAATATCTCTATATATTATCTGTATTTAGATCAATTTCCGTACATATAACTGTATCTGTATCTAGATAAATTTTAAAAGTATCTTACCCATCACTCATATAATGTTATTGCAATTAGTTGATATTTACCAATAAAACATTATGAATCAATTGTCCTGTTCGATATTTATTTATAAATTTCCTAATTCAAACGTTTAAAAGTGCAAAAATGTCATCTTCCTGACAGAAATCTAATACTGTTAATTTAATGCAGTTGTAATTGCTTTTAGTTAGATATATGGCACATTTCAAGGAATGCTGTGTACATCAAATGCGTTCAGTTTCATACATAATGCACAAACTTTTTATCCTTACTGTTTATCGAATATCAAAGATGAAGGATAAGCTACTTTTCATTTACATTAAACTAGGATAATTCTCATTTGTGACATCATGACTCAGTTGAATACATGTTCCTTTTCATTATTCTAATCAGTAAGATTTGATCGAGTTTCTACCTACAATCTAAACAAGCCTGTCATCAAAGTAAGCAAGTAATGAAATTATTATCTAAGTAAAATATTCACATACTTTAGATTCAATATCACTTGTGTGAAAAAAATGGAAAGCAACTATAAAATGACACTCTATGCGCATCATGCGTGAATGAAATGCACTCATTATATCCTTGTTTTATGTTTAATGGAGAATAAAGATAGAAACAACGCATAAGATACCTAACGCTGAAAAGTGAAAATCAGCGCTGATGGCGCTTGCACATTACACTCATTGTACACAGAACGTGGTAATTCACAGTAATTCTTGCTGTACAGGAAGATCATGTGTGATGCGAATGCATATATAATAAAAGACGACCGTGACAAGTCAATATTGGTGACAAAATAGCGAAGTAATTCCTGCGCGCGCATTTAAAACATAACATTCAGAGCAGGAAGATCTCGTCGATTTATCGTTCGCAAGAGCCGCGAAAATAATGCAGCAGGAGTCCACGGTGTACGATCTGGCATATCGCGGTAAAACTGCGGCCGTGAAGATTCTGCTGAACGAGAATGAGAAGCTGAAAACACAAACGGACAACGTACGTATTGTGCAACGTTGCGCCGCCGTTTCGTCCGCATGTCGAGTGCGCTTTTGAGGTTATATTATCATTTCCTTTCCTTGCAGAATGGTCGAATGTTGATACACTGGGCGGCCTTGGGTGGTCACGACGACCTGGTCAGGCATTTGCTGTCCCTCGACGTACCGGTGGATCCTGCGGATGATGTAAGAAATCGCTATTGATCGTTATTTACATTAACGTGATTGTAAACAAACAAGAGATGTATTATTCGTAACTGCACTATGTGTACTTTTTGCATTTAAAATGACATGACTGCGCTCCACTTGATGCTCGCTCTTAGAATCATTTCATCCTTGTTATTTATCAAATGTTAAACAAGAACAAATAATACTTGCGATTGAGCGTCAAGTGAAATGTACGTTCCCACAATTAGATGGAGAAAGAGGATCGAAAAGTATGAAGAGTTTAGTTCAAAGAATAAGCACGAGGTGTAGCTATTTAATTGTGTGTAATAGCAGTAACATTAACAGATTATTAATATAAGTAATTAATAAAAAATTTGTCCTAATCTGCAGCTACACTATATTAAAAAATTATAAACAATTGGTTAATAATCGATTGGTTATTGCTATAAACAAGTGTGAATTCATGGAAATGTTACATCTTGTCTTATTATATTACACATAATGCATAGGCCCGATAAAATTTCGATGATACGATTGCACGAAGCTTCTGACAATCGAATTTCTTTCCTCATTTTAACTTATCGAAAATGTTTTCTTTATACTTGAAGAAATGTGTTTGTTCCGAAAGATTTAATAATTGCGACTAAAATCGATCTCTAACTTTCTAACAATTCCGAATTTGTAGCGACGCAACGAACGCACGTATGTATCGAATTTCTAATAATTTCTAATAAGTTTTGAGATTTAAATTTTAAGATTAAAGATACATTTTTTATACATGTGGATGAAAACAGTAGGTGTCAGCTGTTCATTGAAATTTCGATGAAATTCTATACGGAGATTTTTAAACAAGATAGTAAATCTTTCTAACATTTCTTTTTAAAAAATTGTTGTAAAGTATATTCATTAGCTTTCTTTGTTAGTATGATGATTGAAACGCTGTTGTGTCTGATTAAAAATAGCTCATATAATCATACCTAAATGAAAAGATTTATTTTTAAATCTTTTTCTGAAATATTTGTAAAAATTTTTGTTTGAATATATATATGACTGTTACAACTTTAATTATTATAAATAAAATGTATTATATAAATTATTTAATAATATATCAAATCAACTTTATTTTTGCATCTTAAAATATTATATATCTTTTCGAGAAAATTATAATTCTTGCATGTTGTGCATTGGTCGTTAAACTCTCGTATTTTCAAACGAGATTCTACACAGACCACACACTGGTAACACAAATAAATAGTACAATCATGTACATTTTTTCTGAAAAATATCATTCTTTATAAAAATATTTCAAAATGTATTATCTATTGTTAGTAGCAGATCTATTGTCAGTAGTTGAGTTTTAATGAATCATAGAGACTACTTATCTAAAACGCTTCTTAAATCATAATTTGAAAAAATTTAACGAGAGTAATAGTTTAATTAAGTTAACATGGTATCAAGCAAAATCTTACATTACAATTCCACAAAGCTATTCCATCCCTCATTTCGAGAGATTTATCGAAAGAAAGATGGAGATCTTAATAATATACACACTTGAGGACGTATAATTATATTATAATTTTTCCAAAGATCGTTTATAAGAAAAAAAACTTATAAGAAAATAAGTATAAAGCGAAAATGCGTCTAAAATGCATCGCGCGTTGCGTTACATTTTTTGCATATCCTGTTCTCTCTCTCTCTCTCTCGTACACACACGCATAACATCGCATAATTATCGCGAGACTTTCATTCCGTTCGTTGCGTCGGCTAGATCCTCGTACGAAATCAAACATTAAATCACATCACGCGTCTAAATCAATGCAGACAAACATGACTCCGCTAATCCTG